CCGCAAATGGGTGACCAGTGCGACCACGGTGGGCACGCCGCCTCATTGCATTCCCGTCTGCGTTTCTCGTTATTCATTCCGTTATTTGTCTCGAAACGACGCTCAGAGCACCAAGGACACGGACAAACGGACAAACTGGTCACGCGCCACGCGGGCAGTGACACCCTGTACCGGAACGGACAGCCAAGTGGACAGTCTTTCAGACATGTTGGCTGGCTGGCTGCGAGCTCAGTCAGCCAGCACAACACAAACAAGAGCTCAAGTCCGAGGCTTTTCTAATCCCGCGACCGTTTGGTCGTGTGGTCATGCCCGGAAACGCCACCTGAGCTGCTGCAAGCGGCGCAGGCATGACTTCGTTGCATATGCTGACTTTGAAAAGAGCATCTTCCAAACCTAGCCGTGCAAACATCGGGCATCTCAAATGGTGGAAGTTGGCGGATGGTTCCAGGAAACCATGTTGTCCACCGTCACCAAATGCCTTGTGTGCTATACATGACGCATGAAACCAGCACCGATGCAGTGCTCAGCTACAGACGACCGCTGCACCAGCCATGGGCACTGAAAACCAACCTTCATTAGCAGTAACCTCAAGCGTATTGTATGTTACGACGCCATTGTCTTCATCTCGCCACGGCCGCGTCCGATTTACGAACGCGCTCAGGAGGTGAGTCCTTGACCTCCGGCTGTCATTAACGTCCGATTTACGAACGCGCTCAGGAGGTGAGTCCTTGACCTCCGGCTGTCATTAACGTCCGATTTACGAACGCGCTCAGGAGGTGAGTCCTTGACCTCCGGCTGTCATTAACGTCCGATTTACGAACGCGCTCTGGAGGTGAGTCCTTGACCTCCGGCTGTCATTAACGTCTGATTTACGAACGCGCTCAGGAGGTGAGTCCTTGACCTCCGGCTGTCATTAACGTCCGAGTTACGAACGCGCTCAGGAGGTGAGTCCTTGACCTCCGGCTGTCATTAACGTCCGATTTACGAACGCGCTCAGGAGGTGAGTCCTTGACCTCCGGCTGTCATTAACGTCCGATTTACGAACGCGCTCAGGAGGTGAGTCCTTGACCTCCGGCTGTCATTAACGTCCGATTTACGAACGCGCTCAGGAGGTGAGTCCTTGACCTCCGGCTGTCATTAACGTGGGCGATGGCCTACCCCAGTGTATATCCAACACATTTTAAACGCGCATTCCCGGGCCACCTTCGAATGCCACGTGCATGGAGATACAATACTGCTAGCGAACGTTTTTGAAGAGTGCTGATCTCCGACGTGGGGCATGCGAGCCGAGCCGGTGATCGCACCAGGTGGAATGTACCTGCTCAGCCACGGAGGCGCAGCGAATGGCGAACATGGGCGTTCCTCCAGTGGTTTATGGAGCCGCGCCATACTTGGTCCTGGCATTACGACATCGTGGTTTCCTAGTAGCGTCTCTAACAACCTATACCGATATCTACCATGCTTCGCTAGCGCCATCTATACAATCCACGTAGTTGCCATAGCCCAAAGATGGCAGAGCGCGTTTGGTTCAGTGGCTAGCAGTCTGTGCAGTGCATTCAGGACACGAAGATGAATTAACTACGGTGAGTCTTAACAAAATAAACTGAGCTAAAATATCCCCAAGACCGCTGAACAAGCCCAAAGCTAAAACGCCGCGTTCACGTTGGTAGGTTCGCATATCAGCAAACCAAGCGTCCCAGCCGCGACACACAGGTCCTGCTCACCCTCGTCGGGTCCGAGCTCCTCCATATGTCCGTTGCTGATGACGACCAAGGTGACACAGCGGCCAGCCCCTGACGTGATCACTTCCGCCGCCACAAAGCGACCACCTCAGCTTAGCCAACAGCAGGTCCCGCGGCCGCCGAGCGGGGCGTCGGGGCGGCTCGATTGCCTGCGGCTGTGCGGGCTCTGGCCAGAGATCGCAGCGCCGTGCACCTGGGCGTCGGCCCCCGGGCTAACTGCGACACACCGGCGCCCCGGGCCCACCCAGAGGCGAGCTCTGCCGCGAAAACGGCGTCAATGTTTACGGCGACGATCAACAGAGGGCCAGACGGCGACGACGCAGGCCGTCCGCCGCCGCCACCGCCGCCGCCGCCGCCGCCGCCGCCGCCGCCGCCGCCGCCGCCGCCGCCGCCGCCGCCGCCGCCGCCGCCGCCGCCGCCGCCGCCGCCGATGCCGCTGGGTCCCACATCGCGCAATGTTGGGAACGCCGTCCTGCGGCCAGCTGGCGGCCCGCCCTCGAGATGAGGCCACAGGGCAAGCGTTCACCGCCTAATGAACTCGTACGTCATGGAGACTGAGCGGCGGAGCTACCACCGGCCAACGACGGCGGACGAGGGAACTGGGTCAGCGAAGACGTGGATGAAGCGCTGGCAGCCGACGAGAAGCCATAACAGAGGAGGCCGCAGCCGCGGCGGAGGCCAAAGTCAGCGTTCACCGCGCGGAAACACGTCATAGCTCTATCATCCACGGCTCAAGCTACACAAACTACGGCGGGAGGACTGACACAGGCGGGCCTCGCGAGACGAAACGTCCGCTCCTCCCCCCGTGCGAGAACAGAAAGCTGGCACGCAACCTAGGTGCGTGCCAGCTCGATGCAGGACAAACGTCTTTGCAAGACAATGCCCGCGCTGTAAGCCCTGAAGACTGGTGTCAACAGGGAATCAGATAAAATCCCCAAGTATTTTATCGTTGCTATCCATAGATGCCGTGGCTTGTCCCTGTTGGTGGTGGAGCTAACCAAGCACATTATCCAAATGTGTGCTTGCCTTTCAATCACGAGACTGTCAGCGCCACCTGCGCAACCAAGCGTCGCCAGCCGACAGTGCTGCCTATAGCGACGGCGCCACCTATACTGCGATGACCCAAACCTCTCAAGGTTCGTACGATCCCGCATCACACATTTCAGGGCAGACGCGCATCCCTTCGCTTTCAGATCCTCAGTCCCACTTGAAACGCTTGCTTAAACTGAAAAGGTCCGCGTTCACCACTAAGGTCAAACTCACGGCGGGAGGCCATCATGTCCCGCGGGCCGGGCGCACTGCCCTGACGGCTGACGCCGCGCTCTGGCGGCCTCATTCCTGCGGCGATGCTGGCTCGGCAGGCTCGGTCGCCGCGCGTCACCGCTCCGGATGGGTCGCCGAGACACTGGCGTAACGTGTCCGGACCGTGCTGAGGCTTCACATACTCGGCCGGGATAACCGGAGCCGACAGAGTGCGGCGCATGCCGCCAGGGATGTGCCACATCACTGGCGGCACATCCCTGCGATCAGCGAGCTGGCGGCACATCCCTGCGATCAGCGAGCTGGCGACACATCCCCGCGATCAGCGAGCTGGCGACACATGCCGCCAGGGATGTGCCGCATCACCGGCGACACATCCCTGCGATCAGCGAGCTGGCGGCACATCCCTGCGATCAGCGGGCTGGCGGCACATGCCTGCGATCAGCGAGCTGGCGACACATCCCCGCGATCAGCGAGCTGGCGACACATCCCTGCGATCAGCGAGCTGGCGACATATGCCTGACGCAAAACCAGCTCAGAAGCACGTGAAAGACGTGCTCAGCGGATCAGGACGCGTCTAGATTTAGCTTCAGCGGGCCGGCTGTAGCGATGAGACGTCTGACTGGCGTCCACGGGTGTCACGCAACAACGGAATATGTGCGTCGTATCTGGGCCAACAAACACTAGTTGGCGCTCACACAGAGATACGCGCGCGACCGCAGAAGGGACATCATGTGCACCACATGTGCATATATGGTAGCGATCAGATAACTTGCTTACGCGTCGCAAGCCGCCGTATGAGGACGCATGAGCAACGAGAGGCGACTTCGTACCACAAACCCGCGCAGTATGTAGCGGGTAAACCGAATGCGACGCGTGACTCCATTTAAGCTATATCATGGGACGACTTATGACTGGAGAGCGACAGGCAGCTTACATGGCTGGAAGCACGAGCAGACAACGCGCAACGGCATGTTTTCCCCCATCATGAGAGAGCCGATTAAGAAGCAAATTGTTCCTGGCAACCAATTTGGGCAGATGAACGCAGTCATTGTTGCACGCGGGAAGATACATCCATTCTGGCCGCACCGGCAATCAGCCAGCAAACTTTCCGGGCGAGTATGCCACCACAAACGGGCAGAGTCAGTGTCAGGAGACCCATCTCCAGCAGGCAGCTCAACTCGTCTTGCCCCTGTAGACAGCCAGTGTCTGTGTTAGGGAATGCCGCTGCCCGCAGGCAATCTTTCCGATGAACAGACACGCTGGGGCTGCCGCAACAGACAGCCAGTGTCTGAGTCGGAAAACTCATCCGCCCGCAGACAGCCGGTCTCTGGCGGACGACTCGACCGATCCGCCCCCCACAGACAACCATTGCCTCTGCCAGGACACTTAACTGCCCGCAGACAGCGCGCGTCTCTGGCGGAGAGCTCAGCTGAGCGGACACTGCAGAAAGCCAACCCGCGTCCGGTTCACATAGCCAGACAGCCAGCCAGCCAGCCAGCCAGTCAGCCAGCCAGCCAGCCAGCCAGCCTGCCAGTCTGGCGCACGCAGACTCAGACAACCCCGCATCTGGTGCAAACAGACTCAGACAGCCCCGCATCTGGCGCACGCAGACTCAGACGGCCCCGCGTCTGGTGCACGCAGATTCAGATAGCCCCGCATCTGGCGCACGCAGATTCAGACAGCCCCACATCTGGTGCACGCAGACTCAGACAGCCCCGAATCTGGCGCACGCAGACTCAGACAGCCCGCGTCTGGTGCACGCAGATTCAGACAGCCCTGCATCTGGTGTACACAGACTCAGACAGCCCCGCATCTGGCGCACACAGACTCAGACAGCCCCGCATCTGGTGCACACAAGACTCAGACAGCCCCGCATCTGGTGCACACAGACTCAGACAGCCCCGCATCTGGCGCACAAAGACTCAGACAGCCCCGCATCTGGTGCACGCAGATTCAGACAGCTGCGCGCAGCCGGGCTCGCCGGGCGCCACTCACCGGCCCTGAAGATCTCCCCGCAGCCATCGCAGCGGGTGGCGAACTGGGCGTCGTAGCACGGGCCGCAGTAGATGTTCTCGGCCTTCGAGCCGAACTGCTTGTCCACCAGCGACATGCGACACTTGTTGCACAGGAAGCATGCCTCGTGCCAGTGTTTCTCCTTGTAGCTCAGGTCCTGCCGACCGGGACTGAGGTGAGCGAGGCGGACACCCGGGCGAGGGCCAGGGTCAATGGCGCGGCAGGCGACACCAAGTTGATGGGCAATGTGAGGGATTTGCTTTATGAACACCAACACGATAATGCAAAACTGAGCTATGAGACGCCGCAGACATAAATCAACCGGGCTGCGATTGTCCTAGACTTCCGTCACGGAAAGAACGGATTGACCCTTAAATATCAGAAAATTGTGGGAATTGTGCAAAGCCAATAGCACAATTCTACATGACATAAATAAGTCTGTTGCAGGTCAGGGCGCGTCCTTATACCTTATCTCCCCAACTGGATCTGTCTCTGCTCTGAAAACACCGCTTTGGGATGTAAAATGACACTTCATGCCTGGTTCTTTTTTGCGTCGCAAGAATTCCGGGTCGTGAATTCGTGAGTTTTACCTCGCAAACATGTAGTATTTTCCACCGGTTACAAAGGGAAAACCACCGCACCAGGGCACTGATACACCCATGTACGGCACATGTCATGGCAAAGGCAGCAGAAACATTCAGTTCCATGCTCCTCACAACAAAAAACTTCAGCAGAGCAGTTATCACTGCTTAAAATGTAAAGGCAAAGATGCAAAGTCTCTCTGCATAGCTTAGCAGCCCCGAGCACCGTGAGGCATCAACGTAACATTCCAACACTGTGGGAAACAGTCCAAGACAAAGCACATCACTAGCGTCTTAACCAATAGCAAACGCAATGAAAGGCTACATTTTATTTCGTAGGCGATTCTGAGTATGTGTATAAAATATCCATTTTCAGTCATAAGCTGAGAAGCGTGATATTTAGGCAAAGTTTTAGGACGAACGCAGGTGATCAGGCAGGAACGGCACCACGGACTTTGATTAGGGAGGCAGCGGCTGAGTTTTCCAGCTTTTTGGAAGACAGTTCGAGCATATCACAATGATTGATCACATATAAATGATGCTAACATTTTTAGTTACCTTATGAAGCGGCCATTTTTATTGAACAGACATAAAAACATGAACCTAGCAGAGCTTTTAAAGGTGATTCGAAACGTGATTGGTTGCCGAGAGGTCAGGCGTTCGATAACTATGGGCAGAGCCTGCTCTGAAATCAGCTGCGTGCGCCTTCATGCGCTCAATAAGGATATACTTTGGCGGCCTTAGTTTGTTTTCAAGTAGCGACCTAGATATTCGATCGGTCTTATCCACACCGGTGGCGTTTGTTTAAGAGGGACGAGTCCATTGTTGTGCCGGGTCATCTTCTGCTTGGCGTAAGTCACTCGAAACTAAATAAATTATAAACGATACAAATTATTGCATTACAAATAGTGCCAACACGACCTTTTCTGTCACTCTGAGACCTCAGGATTACCAAAAAATAGTCTCGCAGCACGGTTCGTGCCAGCCCCGCAAACGTCCACCAAAACGCTACGTGAAGCCGACTCCTGTTCCAGAACAGAGCCTCTCGATGCGTATGGAGGGTGGCTCACAATTCAGACCAAGGCGCTCCTGATGCATAAATTGGCCTCCCTAGCCAGACACAAAACAAAATCTCTGATCCAGGTCTGGGACTACCTGATTCAAAACAGGAACTCTTGATTCAGAAGAGCTTCTTGGCAAGGAGGTGATCTCCTACAGGCTTCCAGATGACGGCCCCACCTCAGTTATGAAGACCTCGTCGATCTGAATTTTGCAGCATGCGTGTGACTAAAATGCTTTGAAGTAGGTAAAAAGGGCTTCCAAAAAGTTGGCTGATGGGTCGTAAAACATGCTGATATACCCTATCCCTCCCAGGGTACAAGTGCGCTGTGACAACGGTCGTGACGGGCCAAGCAAAAGATGCCAGTGACATCGCAATTATATGTGTAAGATGTTGTGCCTTTAGGCTTTTAGGGCTCTGCAGGGCTTCTGCTTCTATCTGTTCTCTTGCATTAGCAGGTTGCTTACATCCTTGGGAACGGGGCACATTTAGAAATCAGTGTTGCAATAAGTCAATGTTGTCCACTGTTTGCAACAACAAAAAAACAACAACAGAAGGTAGGGTCAGTGAAATATCTAATGTCAAGGATATAAGAACTGCACTAGTTGAGTGTTAATGCAAATTCGTCGACATCCCTTCATTAAACGTAAGCTAGCGTATCAATCCCTCAATGAAATGAATCTTTTTCCCGTCGTTTCATCTCCAGTTTTGGTGCAAGTATGCAAGCTATTATTTTTTCTATATTTTATCCACGTGGTGACTGCTGCTACGCCTTACGACTTTTCAGAAACATTTCTCGACATCCAGCTGAAAAAGGCTCCAGAACACAACACTGGCTTCCGCCCCTGGTCGGAGCCGCGTCGTAGTCCGACGTGCCAAACATTGACCAACGCTGGACGGGGCAATCCCAAACATCGCCGCGATGCGAGAAACGGCCAATGAGTGACGTCATTGATCCCAACAAGCAATGGCAAATCGAGTAACGGCCAGTCAGCGACGCCATCGAGCCCAAAGAGCAACGGCTAGTCGAGCAACGGTCAAACAGTGACGTCATCGAGCACAGCGAGCAACGGCTAATCGAGTAACGGCCAATCAGCGACGCCATCTCATCGCGCTTCAGCGCCGTTGTCCACACCTGTCACTTATCGTCTCGCCCACTGCTTACCGTCCTTGGGGTATTCTTGTGAACGAATGCCACGCTACATACTCGAGCAAACGAACGAGCAACCATGCTTGAGAGAGCCTTTGGTCAGCAACGATTGCATGTTATATCAGATATCTAATCCGTCACCAGAACACCCTTGAGCCCGTTGGTCGACGAATCTTCAAGATGGCGCTGATTGCGACAAACGTTAAGCGCAGCACACTTGTATCTGACATAAAATGAGCCACTCACATTTATCATCAGGGAGAACAATCCCTTACGCCGTTGTCAGTGATCTTGTTCAATCAATTAGGGCATTGCTTCCAGCCAGCCATCTATCCTAGCGCCCCAGAAGTGACATAAGCCCAGAAAAAACGCCGATTGCTGGTACGTTGCAACGCGAATTTCATCGCCCTGCTGTTGGGGTCGCGGTCAGCCTCACAGTAAAGCCAAACCATATCGGGAGCCTTCAGCACAGTACCCTGCAGTTATGACCTACGTTTCCTCAGACTTGTAAACGTGAAAAGTTTATTACACGCAAGATGTTGCGTGGTGACTGGGTGCACCCTTCAAGAACGAATATGCTACCAGTTTAATATGCTATCAGTTTGACATATGCCAAGACAGTTGCTAACTAGCTACTGATGTGCATCGTGTTCAACACAACGCACACAAATGTACTGACCGCTGCCAGCTGCTGATGCGCAGCGTGCTTTAAACGTAGCCAATTAAACCACGACATTTCAAATGTCCTTGAATAGCACTCTAGCAGTCTACTGCCATGTCACGCAGGCTCTTACGGGGCCTTATCAAAACACAGCTCAGGCTGCCGAGCGCCGTCCTTCCGGCTCGAAGTGCTGACACTTCCGCTTTGACTGAGACCTGTACTGACTGCATCAGCGCGGGCTCCTCGACCCTGTCTGGGTCTGTACGGGCGCAAAGGCGTCGCTGCTATCAGCGCAAGCGAACATCGCCGCCTCTCCGAGCCGTCTGAGCAGGCGAACCAATCAGCGCCGTCCGGTGTCGGACGGCGGCGGCCCGGGTCGGCGGCGTTGCCGCACACGCGCCACTAATGGCGTACAGACGAAAGCAATTTGGCCCGTACAAAGCCGACGCGGTTGGCACAATCCCCCGAGGGCCCCCGGGAGGCCCGGTTCCGCTGACCTTATCTCGCCGGCTCCTCGGTCGGCGGCGCTCCAAAGAGCCGCGTCGGCGGCAGGAGGCGGCCCGCCCGTTCCCCTGCGGATCGCCGGCGGGGGTCCTGACGGCGGCCCGCGCCGGCCGTCCTCATGGGGGGTCCGCGGCGGGAGATCGCGTCCAAGCGCGGCAGCTTCGCCGTCACGCCCCTCACAGTCAGTGATTGGTGCAAACTCGTGCGCGCACCAGGTCTTCGTGCCATGACGTAAAAGAGCCATGGCTAGGATCCTAGGCTCCTTTCGAGACATGCAATCCATGTAAAGATTCTTAACAGGTAAGGTGCCGGCAAATTTAACACGCTGAGGCACTACGATACCAAAGCTGAGGCACTCCGATACCAAGGCTGGGGCATTCCGGTACCAAAGCTGAGACACGACGATACCAAAGCTGAGGCACTCCGATACCAAGGCTGCGGCATTCCGATACCAAAGCTGAGGCACTCCGATACCAAAGCTGAGGCACAGTGATATCAGAGCTGAGGCACCCCGGTACCAAAGCTGAGGTACGGCGATACCAAAGCTAAGGCACGGTGATACGAGAGCACACAGTACCCGGGTACCCGGGGCGCCATGACAAAGCCTCGTGTCCGGCCCTTCCGCGGGTAAAGCGCCCCCCCCCCCCCCCCCCGAGACGTCGCCTCCCCCCTCCCCTTGGCGTGCTGGGCAGGCCAGTGCTAAGCACGGCAGTGGTGGTAGGCCGGCACCCAGCGGACGGTAACGGCAGACCTGTACTCAGGGAACGGTATCAGGCAGGCCAGTACTCAGAAGGATGTTATCGGCCAGGCCAGTGCTCAGGAGGACGGTACCGGCCAGGCCGGTAGTCAGAGGCACCGTATCGAGCAGGACAGTAGTGGGAAGGACTGTGTCAGGCAGGCCAGCAGTACTCGGAGGCACGGTATCGGGCAAGGAAGTACTGGAAGGCACGACATCGTGCGGGGCAGTACCGGAAGGCACGGTGTCAGATAGGGCAGTACTGGAAGGCACGGTGTCGGGCAGAGCATTAATGGAAGGCACGGTATCGGGCAGGGCATTACTGGAAATCTCGGTATCGGCCAGCCCGGTACTCAGAGACATTGTATTGGGCTGGATAGCACTGGGAAGGACTGTGTCAGGCAGGTCAGCAGTACTCAGAGGTGTGGTATCGGGCAGAGAACTACTGGAAGGCACGACATCGTGCGGGGCAGTACTGGAAGGCACCGTGTCAGGCAGGGCAGTGCCAAACTCAGCAGAACCATATCGGCAGTGTCAGGCTCAGCAGTACCATATCGGCAGTGTCAGGCTCAGCAGTACCATATCGGCAGTGCCAGGCTCAGCAGTACCATATCGGCAGTGCCAGGCTCAGCAGAACCATATCGGCAGTGTCAGGCTCAGCAGTACCATATCGGCAGTGCCAGGCTCAGCAGTACCATATCGGCAGTGCCAGGCTCAGCAGTACCATATCGGCAGTGCCAGGCTCAGCAGTACCATATCGGCAGTGTCAGGCTCAGCAGTACCATATCGGCAGTGCCAGGCTCAGCAGTGCCGCGCCGACAATGCCAGGCTCAGCAGTACCGCGCCGGCAGTGCCCCACGGAGCGGCGCCAGCCCGTAGTCCAAACGGGCGGCTCCCCTTTCACCCGCGGCGCCGGTCGAAAATAGGCTTTGATTTTGGACGGTGTTCAGGGAACCAACGCTGGAATGCCTCGGGTAAAAACGGCTGCCGTCGGCTCTGCCGATAGGCCGACGGGGACCCGGCTGCGGGCGCACCAGCCGGCGGCCGACGTCCCTGAGCTTATGGGGGCCAGTGACGCTGCCCCGGCGCCGTCAGCGGGACGCCACCGGGCTGTGAGAGCCCCGCCCGCGCCGCGCACCGACCACGCGTGCTGTGTCACGTGCCTGGACGCGCTGTTCCAGGGGCGACGGTGTCAGCTGGCGGCCACATCAGCTGGATGGAACGCAAAAGAAGGGTCCGTATTCTCCACTAGAAATCTTTGCGTACAATGTTGAGACTCTTGATTGATTTCAGAAAAACCTGGTGCCAATAACAGCTGAGAATATGGCAACCTCACGTGAATGTTTTTTCCCATCCAAAAGGAGATAACACTCGGACGGAGTAACGATGTAGGCATCCAAATTTGAATGAGAAGCTCGGTCCCCCAGTTGTGTGCATCTGGGTATAACAGGTATGTACACACCTGTCTAGTGGACCGACAAAATCTATATCGGATCGAAGAATGCTGAAGGAGGAGTGCTCTGTGTGCACTAAAAGGGCAATCAGTCAAACCGACGATCTGTAACAACTATCGTTTGGGACTCAATGGCGAACTGATTGCTTAGTAGATGCCTCTCCCCGACCCGGCGTCGTCGCCGCTGCGGCCTGTCGGCGCGGCGTACATCGCACCCTCACCTTGGAGTCGATGCCGATGAGCCGACTCCATCGCACCCTCACCTTGGAGTCGATGCCGATGAGCCGATTGCACTCGTCGCAGGTGTTGGCGAACACGTTTTCGTAGCACTTGATGCAGTACGGGTGGTCGTCGCGCAGCACGTACCGCTGGCCGGTCAGCGACTCGTCGCACTGCCAGCAGCTGAAGTGGCCGCTGTGCCAGTCCTTGTTCATCGCCTTGGTGTACTCGCCGCTGAAAATCAACTGCAACAGAAGGCGCCGCGCTGTCAGAGCGCGGTGGAAGCGAGAGGGCGGAGAGTGGGGGAGGAGCGATGGGTACATCCACTCCGGGGAGCTACATACAAGATCAGGCAGCAGCATGTGCAACTCAGCAACGGAGGCTGAAGGGGAGCCGGTAGGGGCGAAGTCATCGCCGGACCCCAGGGATGTTGAGGAGCACGAGCAGAACACACTCTGCTCTGTCAGTTCCGGCAGAGAAGTTTCTAAGACCGTGCCACATGGCGTTGTGTTACACGTGTCACCCCGATCAGCACTCAGCAGTGATGCCCTCCAGCACCCATGCGATGGCCGAATCAACGAATGGAGAGATGCCACACACCTGAGTCGTGAACCACCGCTCGGAGGCACCCCTGACATCCCCTCAGGGCATCATGTGTACGCGGGCGTCGCCAGAGGTTTCAAAACTTGGTGGGACGTGATTGCCGGCTGTTACGCCATACATCGATCACCGGTCATGATTAATGCTAGGGGATCTCGAGGCATAAGCGAAGGCCACTGGGGTCAGCACATCGCTTGGCACTCCAGTAACCTACGTGGAGCGATGAAAAACGTGAGCCAAAAAGAAGAATGTTCATGAACCTGGCACCCTTGCAACTTTATAAAAGACTTAGCCATTGTTTTGGCATACTTGATCCACTTGGCGGAGTCAAACCCGTCAGCAGTGAAAGCCCAAACCGGCACGTTATACGGTCTGTTATCTAGACAACACTGCTACTTTGTTTCGGGTGTATGTGTTTGTATTAAAAGCGCGTGATCACGTGTAGTGCTGAGGGTGTCCCGACGGGACGCTGGCCTGTAGCGACAATCAACTCAAGGAAATACGCAGGTCTGAATAATGATGAAGCCTTTTTCTTAATATGCCAGATTACGCAGCAACTGCACTGTTGTGAGCTGGGACCCTATTGTGCATCGCTGAGCCAAGTATACGAACGAGGAACTGGGATAAACCTTACAGTACATGTTTTCATGCTTGACTTCCAGTGGTATAGGCGCTTTACAACACGCTTGATTCGCTGCTAAAGAATGCCCATTGCATGAATGCAGGACATCCATCGTTACACGAAACATGCAGTCAAATGCTCCGCGCACGCACACGTACAACTATCAGAAACGTAGACGTGCTGTTCAACCAATGATCACGTGATCAAAAGCTAAGCAAGTATGCGCCAGCATTCAGCGGTGGAATCGGAGAGAGCTAGATGGGGTCTGACCGGCCCGGACAGTGGCACCCACACCACCGGGATCAGTGGGGCTCACTCACCCCAGCCACCGCGCATAACGCACACACACATACAACATGGGCTGCAATGCCTTGTGGCCGTGGTTTATTACATCAGGGGACTGCGAACCCAGCCTATGGATGTGCGAGATATGTAGCTACAACTTCATTTAGACACGCAACTATGCTTTCGGATTAGTTTGATCCATAACAATTTTTAGACGACGAAAATATGTTTTAAATAAGTAATATGAATTAATTTAATATTCCATTTATTTTATTTCAATTTATTATATTTCAAATGATTTTAGTTCCATTCCTTTTATTTAATTTTATCCATTATTTCATACAACCATTTATCATTGACTTACTTATATCGATTTATAAACGAAAACATTATATCTTACTGCATGGAACTATAATGCTCTTGCGTGGACCACTAATATATACCAGACGGAAAATGGCTGAACACGCAAGTAATTTGGCCAGCAGTGACGTAGTCTGCCGTGAATGGATGAGCCAATGACCAACCTAACTAGAAAACGAACATCTTGACCGGGCCATATGAGCTTAAGCCAATCTGGTACAACATAACAAGAGCTTCAGCAGTCATCAATGCGAAGTGGCAGCTGGCGCAATGGCGTTTGGATAAGAAAAAGCCCGGATGAGATGGAAGACCTAACATTTTTGACACCGATTCACCACGTACCCGAGTCTTATATGTCTTGGCCATATTATATTAAACTCAATACAATTCGATAGTCGCTCATTGACTTCAACCCATGCGGCTCTCACGCACCATCAGTGAACCAGCCACCACGCAGAGGAGGTGCGAGGTACACCGGCGACCGTCGCGGAGATCTGCCGCGGCACCGGAGGCCGTGCTCGATGACGGGACGGCTCAATACCGGCGCGTGTCTGCACCCAGCATCTGATGGCTTACATAACGCCACCTACGACGAAGACGCGCTCTTCTTACGCCCTTGGCACCGCACGTGCCGACCTGGAGGCTGTCGTGCGGCTGCTAAGCGGCTGGGCAGCGCGACGAGCGAGCATCCGAGGACGCGACCGCCCGGCACACACGGCGATTGCACGCCAGCTGGACGCGCCACAGCCAGTAACGCGTGACGCAACGGCGCTCCTTCGCGACGGTCGCGCCGAGGCAGTAAGATGGGGCAGCTGACGGTCCAGCGAGGGCCTACGTTACCCCAGAAACAGAAGCGCACGCAGGGAGCGGTCGATGCCCGCACACTGCGTGCTGACACGGAGGTGCGCGAGATGCACTGAAGCGGTCGCGACGGCGAGTTAGAAGAAACAGAAGCGCACGCAGGGAGCGGTCGATGCCCGCACACGGCGTGCTGACACGGAGGTGCGCGAGATGCGCTGAAGCGGTCGCGACCGCGATCCGGCGTCGCTCGCCACGCGAGATGAGTGTGCTCGGCGGTTGCACCGGGTGGTCCAGCCTCACAACACTGGTGAGATGTCTCGCCATCTCCCGGATGGCCATTTTATACGTATGCCTAATTGTTCCAGCTTGATTGACAACAGCCTCAAAAAGGAGTCCTTTCTCAGAGAGGGATGCTGCAACGATGTGACATTTCAAATGTGGCAAAACAGACCAGCGTGCGTAAGGCTCTACAGCTGTTGAAGCCCACGACGGACGCATGCGGTCGAAGGGACCAGCTGGATCCCACGGGCAGTGAGAGCAGTGTGGAATTTGAGACGCACGTGCTTCCACAAAAAAACCCTTCGTACAAGACCAGCAAAAGCTACTCAGCAGCAAAGACAAGCATGAGTCAGACGCAGGTGAGACATGTGTATACAATTTGCGACATAATAAACGTATTAATCATCAGGTCATAAGGTCATCAGGTCATAAGCAGCGCACCATACTACCTAAGTTGATCATTTGTGCACGCTAATGATCTGGTGTCAGATCCGTGATGACACATTCGCAATAGGATTCCTAATTCAATTCTCAGCTCTATATGATTACGCCAGTGATAATATGACATTACTGAATGGTATCATTATTACATTTCCATTCATTTACATTAATTCCCTGATGTATAACCGCGAAAAGTCTGCTCCCGTGACGCCGCCCCGACATCGGGACGAAATGACGTTCTCCAGACGGAGCTAGCACGCCAACACAAGTCGAAATCGTCCAGAACCAAACAGTATTCAACCTGGGTGGCCAATCTGGGCTGGCAGCCCGCGCCGGCTCGGCATCAGGTCGGCGGTGACAAGTGCGGCGCAGTGACGAGCCTGTCACTGACGCCCGGCGTGACGCAGTGACGAGTCTGTCAGTGACGACCGGCGTGACGCAGTTACGAGCCTGTCAGTGACGCCCGGCGTGACGCAGTGACGAGTCTGTCAGTAACGACCGGCGTGACGCAGTGACGAAGCCGTCAGTGACGCCTGGCGTGACGCAGTTACAAAGCCGTCAGTGACACCCGGCGCGACGCAGTGACGAGCCTGTCAGTGACGCCCGGCGTGACACAGTGACGAGCCTGTCAGTGACACCCGGCGTGGCGCAGTGACTGGCTACAAACGGTGGCGAACGGTGGCGCCCTTCCAGACTGCGCCGCCTCTCTCCATTTGATCCCTCCGCCCCGCTGAACGGCACGAACGGTGTCGACACGGCAGAACCAATCCCGCATTGCACTTTTTGAAACTAGACCAGAAGGTAAACTGCATGGGTCTAGTAGGATCAGTGAGAACCGACCTAAAAACGCAATACGCTGTCCCGCTTCAGACGGCAGCACAAACGAGAAAGAAAATCGGCCCCAGCAACAACAAACGTTTAAGGATTTGGGAATCGCTTCGGCCCCTAGTTATCACGAAAAAATCTGGTCGGTTCGAGCTCAAATTGACCCTAGCGGTATCTGTGTGCACTAAAGCCTCAATCTTCATCATCGTAAAAAGGCATGGAGCCGTTGCATGCTTGTGACATGCATCTCGCGCGACATACCGAATACGAGCGTTGGCAACGACCGTCCGTCCCTATGCCATCCGCCATATCCAGGTCCGGCTTGTCTGAGACGGGGCTGCACTGATATCCCAGTTTACCGTCATCCAAGAGCCTAGCGTCTGGTGATGGTGCAACCATATCCAGACAATGACACTCGGGATATCTAGAAGAGCTCCAGAAGCCCACTGTGACAACATGCCGTAGGCACAGGGTCGCACCGCCGCGATAAACGGTGCCGGTGACGACTTTTGCCAGTGAGGTGGGGTGAAGCATCGTTTCTTTCGTCAAGCACGTTTTTCTGTTTGCCCAGCGCGCTTGTATTGATGCTGTCGAAAGGGTCACGCCACCTGTTCCAACACTCGTGCTCGCTGTTTTGACGTGAAGCGTCCCGGCTGGACGCGCCAGATATGCCTACATCACGGCTAGATGCGCCAAATCTACGTCCAGAGCGACCGGGGCTCGGGGCGCACGGGACCGGCGTGACCCACGAAACCACCCTCACACGGTGTATTGGAAGGACGCACTGCGCTCAAAGGACCCGCGTGGTCTCTGCCACTGCGGAGCATTAGCATCTACAGTTTCCTCCACAGCGCGCTGCCACCTCAGACCGTTTATGTACATCACGCTGCGGACCTTCAGGGTCCATGCGTCGCTGCGCTAGCGCAAAGCGGACGCAGGAAGCACACGAGAGGATGCTCCAGCGATTGTCGGTGTGACAGCGAGGAGAAGCGCAGACTCTCGAGGCACAGCCGATGCTGAACAACGGGTCACCGAATACGGGTAGACATCGTAATCTGGACCAATTTTGCCGATTCCAGTTAAGCAGGGGTGCGGTGTCGTCACTGGAAGCCGCCAGAGGGGCCTAAACCAGCATATTGAAAGCAGCGCTGGAGGCATTTGCCCACATTTTGACGCGCGCACGCCTTGCGTCACACCGAGCCCGAACCTGAACCCGAACATTGAACCCGAACCACCTGATGATGATTTTTGGACTCTTCGGGCACGTCGACTGCAGCGGTCATTTTCCGCGCCGCAGCCCAATCGCCTGCCATTACGGCCAGGCGTACCCTGCGCTGTAGGGTTTTCATGAGCTCCACAGCCGCACAGGCGGCGCGCGAAGCTGGCCGCCTAGTCCAGACGTGCCGCCCGGCGCGCTCCAGGCATGTGTGAATCACAGTCTCCCCTCGACGGTGGGTGACGTCACATTGTTTCATCAGCGTCTCGGCCGGCGCTGAACGCCCGTCTCAGCTGTAGCTGTCATGGTACCAACGGCGCTCGCCACCGGCAGCCACGCGGAACGACGCCGGCTCGAGACAAACGAGAATTCCTGGGTGCCGACAAATTCCTTCAGTCGGGGAGATTCCCTCGGTCGGCGCGATTCGGGGAGCGAGGAGAGCGACGGCCGCGCGTCGGTCTGGGGCACGAGATTCCAGAAACGAGAACAGGTTTGTTAAAGCCACGACCATCCAAATATTGATCTCCCGGTGTAGCAGGATTCGTGAACACACTTTTAAAAAAACAGGCATCTTTGGCGGGCCCTTTCTTCTGCCTTTTTTCTCAGCCGGGACGAAAAGTCACCGGTAAAGATATTGTGGCCTACCTGTCAACCATTTTTATCAAGCGCATAAGCGCCCGGCGGCGGGCTGCCGTGGGCCCCATTTGCTGGGCGTGCTGGCGGTCGGGACCAGCCAGTCGTTTGTTTACCAGCAGCGGCCGAGCCGCGCGCCGGTGGGTCTCGCCCGTACACAGACCGCCCTTGCGACACCCAGGCGGCCTAACTTGACAACAAGGCCTGACGTCCTGACCTGACGTCCTGACCTGACGACCTGGCCTGACGACCTGGCCTGACGTCCTGACTTGGCGTCCCGACCTGACGACCTGGCCTGACGTCCCGACCTGACAACCTGACCTGTCGTCCTGATCTGACATCCTACCAGCCATGAAGTCCTGACATGACGACGTAACCTGACAACCTGACCTGACACCGGTGTAACGACCTGAACTATCGTCCTGACCCGCAACCTCCGGCGCCGCGCACCAGCACATCACACAGCCCCGGACACCACGAACAGCAGGAGGACGCCGACGGCGCACCACTCACCAGAGCAGACGTCAGTAAGAGCGCCCCGGCCGCGGCCACGCCGTCGCCTCGGCGGCGTCACCCGGCCGGCTCCACGGCCGACTGACACCGTCATCCACATGGCCTTAGTGCCTTAGCCGAATCGATCGCGCCCCGCGGACGCCCCGCAGATTTGGTCGGCCGGCGGAGGGCGGCGTGGCCGGTGCCGGTCGGCCGGAGCGCTCTTACTTCGACGTGACGGTCTTGACGCCGTCGCCGCCCGAGCCATCCTGCTCGGTCGTCGTCGTCTCAGTCGTGGTGGTCTCTTCGCAGCCGCCGTCGCCAGCACGCTTGCGCGACTTCTTGGTCTTCTTGGTCTTCTTCTCGGTGACCACCTGGGTCTGGATCTCGCCCTCCCAGTCTTCCATGGTGGCCATCGACGACGGCTGCTGCGGCGGCTGCGACGCGGCTCGACGAGCACTCGGCAGTGAGCGTCGGGGCTGGTGGCGCCCGCCGCCGGCCCGCGCCCCGCGCGCCAGCGCACGCCGCAATAACGAAACGCATCGGCCGCCGCCTCGCCTGCCCCGGCCGCCACCGGCCGCGCGTTATTGCCGTCTGCTCCGCTCGCTTTGCAAGACGTCACGGATTGGTGCTGGAACAGGCCTCTTCTCTCCACCCATGTTAAAAATAACGTTACACTCGATTTGGAAACAGGTCTCCGTGCCAAACAACCGTTGTTAATTGCAGACGCGCGTGCCGCTGTTCCGGCGGGGACTGCAGCGCGGCTCGGCTGACAGCAGCGCACGGCGAAGATGGCTTCATTATTACGATCGTCTCTCGGGCCGCCTCACACCTGGGACGTTCGCTGATCCGGAACGGGCCGGCGGGCGTAGGAAACAGCGTCAATATCGCGAACGGCGATGCAGATGATCGCCTCGCAGCCTGCGTCCCATCACGACCGTTCTCGACCGACAACAGCCTTCCAATCAACGGCGCGTTGGCGGGGCCGCGCACATCGGTCAGAGCGACCACCTCGCTCAGGCACTGAACGGTGGAACGCGTCCCCCGCCCCTCTCCCATTCCCGGAGGCGCCCGTTCTGGCCAGGAGCCGGGCCGCCGCTGGACAGCGTCGACAGCCTGAACCAGGTCAGCTGGCGGGCCGCGGCCCGTCCTGGCCGGAAACTCGACAGGCGGCGCTCGGCCAAGGCCGGCCTCGGCTCCGGGACCGGGAGCCGGCCGGAGCGGGAGCCGGAGCGGCAGCCGGCGCGTCCGCCGCTCGTGCAGGCTGGTAAACAGCCGCGCCGCCGCCCGGTGTGGCGGCGAGGCGTCCGGCCAGAGCCCGGTCAGCCGGTCCGGCCGCCACCGCCGCCGCCGCGCCTCCCGGCATGCGGTGACGCGTCGTCGTGCAGCGCCCGCCGGCTGCGCCCGCCACACGCCTTATAAGGCTAAGCGCACCGGCGCGCTCTTCGTCAAAAGCGCGGGAGACGGCGGTGGCGGAGAGAGCCGCCGGCCGCCTCTGACTCAGCCGTCGGGTGACCCGGGGTCGCGCCGGTCGCGCGGGTCAATGGAGCGTGGGTGAAGGTCGCGGCCTCGCCGGAGGAGGCGATGTGGCGCCGTGGAGCTCCCTGATTGAGGCAATTTATGAGGTAATGTACGAGGCACGTTGCATAGCTTGCGCAAGTGCGCCTTCACGGTCCGTTGAAGCCGGTTGAGGACGACACCAGGCCCAGCTGTGGACTGCCGAATGGCGGCGGCCATGTAAATGATTCACAAACGGGTTCTTACTGGTTGCTATGACAACAGGTCGTGGCACCAGTTGTGTAATAACAAGTGCTCGAGCGCGGTCCACCAAGGTTACTGCACGTGAACTGACATCAGTTTTTGCCCGAACGATAGTGCGGATAGGAGGCTGATCGAGGTAAATAAAATACAAAGGATGCTGTAGTCGTAGGTGATGGGTCGTAGGTAGGTCGTAGTGGATAAAATGCTCATTAACTTTTATGTTTATGTTGCCATAAAACTTGATACAACACCCAAAATGGCCGCGTACTACACAAGAGCATCGAATCCAGAGTAAGCTTGGCACACGCGTGCTTCCCGTCTGCACTCTGATCTCACACGTCCTCGGGCCGACAGGTCTGAGCTGTGTCGTTCTGGCTTCCAGACAAGGTCAGACCAGTACCACACCTCTCTGTCCCCTGTCCCGCTCTCTTTCGAAAGACCGGGACCCAGCACGAGCCAGCGCCCTCGCCACGGACGCGGCCCGTGCCGCAGGCCGGCAGACGGGCTGGGCGGCGCGCGCCACCCGGCCCCGGGGCGACACCAGTCGGCGGGGGACGGCCGGGACCGACGAGGAGCGGCCGGGGCCGGCGGGGCCACATGCAGAGCTGCGGACTGCGGGCCGGGAGGGCCTCGGCCGGCGGTCTCAGCGGCCCCACTGGGAGGCACTCGCTAATGGCTCGACTGGAAGGCACTGACCGACACTGAGAGACGGACAGCGGTAAGCGACGTTGCAAAGGACGACGTCCGTCTTCAGAACTGAAGTAATTGAGTGGTGGGAGAGGGAGATAGCAGGGAAAGAAGCTAACACTGCGGGACGACATGGCTGCATACGTTTGTAGGAAATCACAGCAGGCCTTAGACATTTCAGCTGCACCACATGCCGTGATGCACTTTTTCCGAGATATTGTGGACCCGTTTCCCTGTCCGTCTTTGCTTCGGCTCTATGATCTTCAGCTTACTCCTCTTCACACCAGTTCGTCCTCTGTATAAAGCACGCAATCGTGATTTCCGAGTCGTTCATGGTCTCCAGACTAGTCTTCGCTCAACTTAGTCTTTCGGGGCTTATCGCTTCTCAGACGCGGGCTATTTGTGGACAACTGGGCTGCCAGCATCGGTCAATAGACAGAGTTATCTTTTCCAACAGAAACCCACAAATTAAATGTCAAACGAATACTGATTTTATCGGAGAAGCGTTGCAGAGAATTATCGGACGAAGCCTGTCACTCGGACAAACCTGTACATCACTGAACGAAAACTTTTTCTTTTAGTGGATGGAATAATTGTTTCACTTATCGTCTTCGCCTCGCGTGTAGGTATGTGTGCCACGTTTCGACTGGTCAACGCTCAAACCGTCGCCAGACGTTGCGGAGTTCTGAGAATGGCTGGATGATGTTTGCCTTTCAGTCATACACTCGTCACAACCATAATTCTTAGCTTGGATGTGCAGGAATTCGAACCAGTATCTTCTGACCGCGAGTCCAGTGCTTTACCAACTTCGCCAACCGGGAAGGACGGCAGACTATCATTCGCTTGGCTTACATAACGACGTCTTCAACCTGACGCCTAGCAAACTGGCCTGACGTCGCCCGGCGACCGGCGTACTGGCCTGACGCCACCTGGCGACTGGCGTACTGGCCTGACGTCATCTGGCAAACCCGCGTACTGGCCTGACGTCACCTGGCAACCGGCGTACTGGCCTGACGTCACCTGGCAACCCGCGTACTGGCCTGACGCCACCTGGCGGCCGGCGTACTGGCCTGACGTCACCTGGCGACCGGCGTACTGGCCTGACGTCATCTGGCGACCGGCGTACTGGCCTGACGTCACCTGGCAACCGGCGTACTGGCCTGACGCCACCTGGCGACCGGCGTACTGGCCTGACGTCACCTGGCGACCGGCGTACTGGCCTGACGTCATCTGACGACCGGCGTACTGGCCTGACGTCACCTGGCAACCCGCGTACTGGCCTGACGTCACCTGGCAACCGGCGTACTGGCCTGACGTCACCTGGCGACCGGCGTACTGGCCTGACGTCACCTGGCAACCCGCGTACTGGCCTGACGTCACCTGGCAACCGGCGTACTGGCCTGACGTCATCTGGCAACCAGCGTACTGGCCTGACGTCACCTGGCGACCGGCGTACTGGCCTGACGTCACCTGGCGACCGGCGTACTGGCCTGACGTCATCTGACGACTGGTGAACTAGCCTGACGTCACCCGGCGACTAACAGGTCGCACCAGCTCAGCAGATCTGCTCTTCACACACGAAAATCCTTCTTTGGGCTCGCCATAACTGCGTGCAAGTGAAGTGAAGACGTCAGTGAAGTGAAACGTCCTTGTCAGTGAAGACGCGCATCGATGTCGCCCTCGTAGGGCGGCTCAAGCGCGCCCAGCCGACTGGCCGGGCAAGACGCCCAACCGCCAACTCGGCGACAGGAGGACGGACGCTTTCTATGCGTTCGGTCGCATCTCGCCGGCGCGGCAGAGAGTGTGGGTTCGGCCACAGGCGCCCACGGCGGTTGTGGGTTCGGCCACAGGCGCCGGCGGCGGGTTGGGGTCCTGTCACAGGCGCCGGTGGCGGGTGTGGGTTCGGTCACAGGCGCCGACGGCCTTGGATGTGCCTGATCACTTCGCGCGGGCAGCCGTTACCGGTTTCTTGAGGCGAGAGTGCGGGGGCTCAGCCCAAGACAGCCGGTCGGCCGGCCGCTGACGTCAGCCGTCTTTGAAGCGCGCTCGTGACGTCATACTTGTCACGGACGCTGAGCGTTGTATGCCGGGAGGGAGCGTCACGACGTGGGAGGAAATAACGCCTGAGGGGACCGGTGAACAATATCACGGAAACATGTCAAGAACCATCGGACGCGAGACGGCCAAATATAGAAACCATAACACGCGCTGACATTTTTGAAATATCGATGTCGGGATTTCAGTTATGGTATTTTCGGGCACGAGATGTGCAAGTTACATATCATACAAGTAAAGTACAAATAAGAGACGTCGCGTATTTCGTGGAATTGCATATGCTGAGCCATTAAGGTCCGTTTAAGAAACAAAGCCCTGCTGTCGCCTCTGTAAGCCGCGTTTCCATGCCAGCAGTGTAATGCGGCATTCAAGCTGTGCGACATCTTGCCGGAGGTCGTGAGCCGGCATAACTTATGTGAGGTCATAGCGCAAATGTGCGCAATGCACGGGATTCGTGTGTTTTAACGCCCGAGGACTGTTATAATGAGAGCAAGCGACGGGGGCAGTAAGCTCAGATACTATGTTTCAGCGCACTGAACTAGCCAAATAGAGTCTGCATTATTCTACCGCAGTGATCTTAGGAAGGGCACAAATAATGTCGATGGTACCCTTACATCACTTGCTTCACAAAAAGTGCTCTGGCACGCAGAGCTCGATCCGACCGTCCGAGACTCGCGTCCAGCCCGCGCCGCCCGAGGCACGAGTTCCAAAGCGGCCCGCTGCCCGGCGCGCGTGCGCTAGCGGCCAGAGCTGTCGTGGTGGCGCCATGGGCACAGCCACCGCTGGGAGCCGTCCGCACTTCAGCCGCAGCGCAACCGCAGCACTGCCTGGGGTCAGCCACAGCACTGGCTGGGGTCAGCCACAGTGTGGCGCCTTCCAACATTACCGGCCATTACCGCCGTAACGGCTCAATTACGACAGCGTATGACTGGTGAGGGGTTGGAGGGGGGGGGGGGGGGGTAGGGACCACGGACCACCAC